AGCTAAACAGGTATAAAAGTTTCCTATATCAGATCGACTAAAAGTTTAATATATATATATTTTTTATCAATTTAATCGTAATGCAAATTGTTATCTTTATGAAATGCAGCCAGGATCAGCCCTTTTTAAATTCAAAAAATTTAAGGAAGTACTTCAGTAGAGGTTATTCTTTTAGTGTACCTACCAGTCCAATAAAACTCACACATGTACAGAAAAGTTTTTGTTTGAAAAACATTTGTTGTTAGTGTCTCTACTTTTCGTTCTTGTTGCAGTTTCATTTTTATGCGTTTTGCACAAATGCAAATCCCGCACAAGCCGCACTCTCGCATCGCCCGTAAATTCCACGGTTCCACAGGCACACACAAACATCCCGTCTATTTCGATTTTCCGGCATAGAAAGTGCGCACATTTTTCGGATATTTACAATGCAGAAAATGTAAAGTAAATAGGGGTAATAAAGCAAACTAAACATTGATTCAAGTCTGCGATAAAATAACTTGTGACGCAATCGATACTCAGCCTTGAAAATCAAGACAAAAAGAGAGCAAATTGAATTTAAAGAGAAAATGCACTTAACAGAAGCTGCAAATATCAATATCTTCCAAGGTCTTTGATAGACAGCTATATTACTTTATGAATTATTAACTCAATAGTAATGTATATTGTTAACTTGTAGATGAATGATACATAAAAATATTATGACAGTTAATTCATTAAAATGTTTTGAATAACTTGCAAACTTTGCCCCCAAAAAATTACTGCCCACTAAAAGCAACTTAAATTTGCTTACGATATAATTACTAGACTTTGCCACACAGAATATAGGGTAACATTCTAGTGAAATTTGTGCTGGCTAACATGGCAATCTTTTTAATTAGGCATTTAGAAATTAAGCAAACAACTTGCCCCAGAATCCGGAGAGAGCGCATCGAAAAAGGTTTAGCTCTGCTAAATGAGAAGGTTATTTCCCAAAACCCTATATTATAGATCTCTGTATCTGCGGTGACAGGGCGTGAATCACTCACTTCACTATCACAATCTCAAGTTGAGCCATTGGCATAGTTCTGTGCAAGTTCGCACTTTATTAACATAATAGGTTGGGTGGGTTTGGGTTCCCATCGCCGGAATTATTTAGCTAAGCGGCGTAGCGATAGCATCACTATCACCATTACCATCGCCATTCAGTCCATTCACCGACTTCCGATTCCCGCGATTACACAACACCCACCGGAGCATGATAATGAAATAAACCAATTCATGCTAATTTGTTGCTCTCCCCCTCGGTTTTTTTTTTTTTTTTATATTTGGTGCAAATATGAAAGGAAATCCACAATGAATGTGCCTGCAAGGTCGTCAAAATAAATAAAACAGCGACGGAGCGTGGGGCTATTATGGGTATTGGCTTGCTGTGTGCTCTTGATTTATTTGATCTGTTATTGTCCAGAGGCTCTGCACATGTTTATTAGTTAAACATGATAAGAGATGTCGCCCCATTGAGCTAGAAAAATAAACCCTTTACGCCATAACTCAAAGTCGTTAATTGGTGCTAGGGAAATTGAATACTCTTAAGGTTTCTAATCTAATTTTACCTTTGAACTTCCCTTGTTTATTTTCTTTAATTTTCTATATTTATTTATATTTTCTTCACTTAGCAATCTACATTGTAATTGCCAGCTTTCAGTTCTCCTTCTCTTTTTTCCACACATTTTCCCATATAATAAGGGGGTGTGATTGATGTCTAATGTAAACCCTATACCTCTAAGTACCGTGCTGAAAGACGGAACGTGTAAACAAAGCCAGGGAAACCGTGTAGAATGCAAATAGCCAAAGAAGTGGCAAAATCATTAGTCCAATAACAGGCGGTGGATTGAGTGAGCCATAGGTATACGAGTATATATATATATAGATAGGTTCCAAGTGTCTGGCTCTATCCGCAACACCCTTACATAGCCACTTGTGGGTCCACCATGACTACGGGTCTCAACATTTTTTTCGTTGAGTGCGTCATTTGTGACGCCCACGTGGAAAGCGGACTGGCGCTCAGTCTTTTTATCTGCTGCCTGCCCCAACATTGATTTTCTGGGCTCTGGCGAAAAAGAGGTTAGTGGGTTTTCCCATTACTGCAGTCTGTCAACGACTTTGCGGCAATAGACATCCAACCATCCAATATAGCCGTATAACGGTGAAGGTAGTGCACGGAACCGTACTTGACTAGGTCGTCGTCGTAGTCGCTAATACAATCAATCAATCGCCTTGTTTACCTCCACACACACAACCCAAGTGGGCGTGCTGTTGTTGCTATTGTTAATTGATATTGGTTTAGTTCGTGTCAATAAAGCGTCATTGAACCAAAATCAAAACACATACATAAACCACAAGGAGACCCCCGAAAAATACAACAAAAACAAGCCATTGTTCACTTGGCATTAATTTGGGGCTTCAAGTACTCGGTAATTGAAAGCCGAATGTGACGTGATTGCTAAATAGTATTCTGGTACACGGCCTCTATCAGCCTTAATGCGTCCACCGGCGATTATTTGGAATTAGGAATTTCCTGATAAGCTTTTCTTTATTTGCATTAGTGTCGTGTTCAGATTCCCCGAAGGTAATCCCCATAAACACTTGTTTTAGAGTAAACACGAGATTCCATTACTGCAGGCCACTTGGGAGAGTTCTGTGAACCCTTTTCCAAGTTGTAATAATACATACTTTTTAAAAAAACAATTTTATCTTTTATTCTTTAGCTGCGTTCTTGTTTTGTTCTCCTATAAGGAAGGTTTTAAGAAATTACTGAAACATGAAAAGAAATTAATTAAATAAAAATAAAAATAATGGAAAAGTAATAGAAAAAGTACTTCAATTTAAAGACTATCCCTTGTAATTTTAAGTTTGGACATCTCTTTGCGGAACAATCTTGTTGATGGTTTGTTTTTTCTCCCTGAAAGTGCAGCTTATCCTCTTGTGGTCGTATCTTCACCGCCCAGTTGACTTTGTTTTTCCTTTTTTTGAATAGGGGCATGACATTGCGGATAACAAACAAGACTAGCCGACCAGACCAAATACGAATAGAATGTGGATGGGTCGACGTTGCAGGAATGTTGGAGAAGAGCCTCTCCCCAATTGTCATTGGTGTCGTTGGATGTGAAAACAAATCAATTCGAACCAATTTCAATTTGAGCAGCCAGCGGTGCAGCAGAAGAAAAGTAGAAGAAGAGAAGAGGGGTCACATGCAACTCAGGTCAAGGGGTGCGGATGCGGATGGGGCAGAAGTGGAGGAAAACGGAGCGGCAGCCGAGTGTAACTGATTGATTTAACTTTTAACTGTGCAGCCTGCTGGTTGTTGGTTGCCGGTTGCTGGTTGCTTGACTAGCTTGACTGCCGCCTGCTCGACTCGACAACTTTGGCCCCAGGGGGCCCACTATCTCAATGCGAGTAGACAGGGAGGCTTACCTAAAAGGAATAATTCTATACTAAATTGCAGTCTGAATAAAAATATTATATATAACACAGCTAACTGAGATCTTTAAACACAAATAGAAATGATATTATGTTTAGTCACCACTAGTTAATTGGTGAACACTTTGTTGTATTATTCAGCAAATTGAGAAAGCAGGGTCTGTAAGTTAATTATTTGATTTACAGGGGCCCCACTGTATACGTATCTTGTAGCTATCGTTCACTGCTCCCCTTCGGAGCGTGAAAGTGAAATGCAAAAGCAATTTCTTTCAAGCGCGTAGCTGTGTGTGTTCGTGTGCACCTGCTGCTGGCTTCTGGCTGTTTTAAAGTGCCTAATCGAATCTCGGAGAGCTTCCACAGCGCTGTAAGCCATTAATCGCGGCTTGTTATCAAAAGCGGCGAACACGTTTCCGAAGTGGCCAAAAGTGGAGAGAAGTAGTGGTGCAGCGGCATGGTGGTTCCTTTGTCGTGTTATGCAGATGCTGCCACGGGGGAAAACATCAAATTTGCATTACGGGTTTGACTTTCTTTTTAGCCTAGAAATTGCACAAGGGGGTGGTTTTCTTTCTTTTTTGGGTGGCAACTAGCTTGTACGTTATATAACTCCTTCTTCCTGACGGAATTTTCCGGGCGGCACAATTAATTTAAGCACAGTTTTTAATTGAATTGCATCGCCGCTCGCGGCAACTGCAGCAATATGTGGCATCCACTCTCTCGCTGCACAGTTCTCTGAGTTCTCGGCTCTCTCTTACCCTATTTCCCCCCCATTTCTCGCTCTCTTCTTGGCCAAACATATGCAGACTTCTCTTGTGCAGACACAGAAATCGCAGTTTCGCCAGCGATGAAGTGAGAGCATAAATTAGTGCGACTTTTAGTTTTAATTGCCGCCCGCAATTCGCGTCAAGTGTCTCGGCAGGAAGCACACACCCAAGTTCGCTTCACAATATATATAGAAATGTATATATATACACACACCATCCTGTGCATTAATAATAAAAGTTAGGCCAAAGCCAGGAAGCCCCTGGAACTAATTATGCAATAATAGTATAAAAGTAATTTGAGCTTCTTGTGCATTTCCCATGAATAAAGGAGGCGCGTGTCGCATAACCAAAAATCCCCCGACTCCTTGGGCCTATGGCATAGCATATTTATTGAATAATCTATGAGTGCTATCCGGAGGTGAAGGTTCCACGTACCACTCAACCCCGGATACGGACACCGAAAAGCTCTTCTGCTCATTCGTACGTCAGCAAGTAAATAAGGCGCCAATGTCGTCCCACGTTGTGATTTCATGCTGTTTTTCCCCTCCGCCTATCCCGCATTTCCACGCGCGTTGCGAAGGCCTATCGAGAAGAAAATTAAAAATAGTTTACAAGTGCCGACAGCCGGAGTTTGGCTATGCCTAACATGCGAATAATAATAACAAAGCCAACTCGAGCCGAAGGAAAATCAATAGGCTTTGCGTTGTCAATATAATCGACGGAGGGGCATTGCTAGTGATTTGCCTACTAAATGTGCTTCTTTGGTTCGTTCTTCCATTGCAGGTTGAGGCCGGGGATGTCATCCTCAAAGTCAACGGAACAGATGTCCATCGCTATACAACGAAGCAAGGTGAGTGAGCTCATGGGGTATAATGGCGGAAGAAAGCTGTGAATAATTAACTCAAAACATATTTTTAAACAGTTCTCAAATGCCTGCGCCTGTCGGAACAGCTGGTAACCTTGGAGCTGAAGCGAGGTAGGTGGAAATGTATATCAATCTTCAAGGATGCAAACCGGTTTCAAACCAAACTAAACCAAACCGAATTTAACTGAACCGAACCGCTTTACCAATTATTCTCATACGATTCCTTTCATTTTAATGATATTTCTGTTATTATCTAGTCGGTTTGCATCTTAGTCTAACCGCTTTTAGTATCAATAGTTAATATTATTTTTTCTTCCCTTCAGATCCCAAGCTCAAGGCGCGGATCAAAGAGCAGCTGGCCAACACCCAGAGTCCGCATTATGTGGACATTGAGTCGCCGAATATCTACGATTACAACAGTAGCAGCACCAACTCCTCGCCGAATCACAGGCCAAACACCGGTGGTAAGGGGGTGGCGACCACTCCCTCGCAAAGCGGACTGCGCTATAAGTCGCCAACGCACTTGCCCTCACTGCGCCAGAACTCGTCGCCCCTACTGGCGAGTGGATCTACCACAACCACGACCACCGCCACGCATACGCACACCCACAGTCGAAACTCCTCGGCCAGCTCCACCAAGATCAAGGTGGTGGAGACCAGCATCACCACCTCGACCACAGGCATAGTAGGGCTTGCATCGCCCACCGGTAGTGCTGGTGGGGAGGCCACATCGCCCACCTTCCGCCCCTCACGCATTCCACAGGCGCTGACCAAATGTGCCGTACCGAAGCCCGTGCCCGTTCTCCATTCGCCCCAAAATAAGCGTCCACGGCCCTCGCAAATACCGACGAAGGCGTCTAACGGCAACGGGAACGGACATACTCCCCAGTTGCCTCCCCAATCGCTGCAACATTCGAACAGCTATAGCGGCAGTCCAGTAACCCGACAACGGTTTACGGACAGGGAGCAGGAACGGGAACCGGAACCGAACTCGGCGCCACCGCAGCCAGCAAAGGCGCCACGTTTTGAGGCTTACATGATGACTGGGGACCTGATCCTCAATCTATCACGAACACCACAAACCAGCAATCCCCTACCTGCCCAGACCAAGAAGGTAATTTATCCATATTTTGGATCTCTATTAAGATACCTTAACCAAAACATTATGCTTGCAGGTGGACAGTCTACGGGACTCACCCAGTCGCCCGATTAACTCACGTATCAATGGCGCACTGGCACCGCGTGCCTCTGGTGAATCCTCTCCCACGTCCTCCTCGTCTGTGGACTCGCCCATCAATACCAGCTCGGATTCGGTGAAGCGCGAGGCAAAACTGTTACAAAAGCAACAACAGCAGCAGCAACAACAACCTCACCAACAGCAACAGCAGCGGGACAGCATAAATAACAGCTACAACCGCAAGGATTCGCTGACCAACGATACGCTGTTGATGTGCGAGGAGCTGGAGCAGGACGAGGAGGGCGAATATGTCCTGGAAGAGGACAACAAGCAGCAGCGACAGCGCCAACAGCAGCATCGATACCGACAACAGCAAAATCAGCAACGCTACGAATACTACCAAAACGAGGACGAGCTGGAGGAACAGGAGGAGGTGGAAGAGGAACGCGAGGAGGATCAAACGCACTACGACATCACAAATATCGAAACCTACCAGAGCGGATTGGGCCGGGGAGACGAGGATGACAGCGATCGGCAGTGCCTGGTGGATGACGACGATGATGATGACGCCTACGACGATGAGGAGAATGATGCCGGTGACGAGGATTATTCGACCAACTCGCTGGGTTCAGGTTCAGCGAAACAAAGATTGCGAGCGCTAAAACAGCGGACTGCCACCCGCCAGCAGCAGCGAAATCGGGACGCCGTTGACTGCGCCGGACGTTCCGGATCGGGATCTTCATCTACCACGGTCAAGAGCGAGGCGGGCGGCCTTGGTCTGGACGAAACCTCCTTCTCAGTGCCAACATCTCCCATCTCGCTGTCGACGCCTCTAATCGACAAGGAAACGGCCAACTCTGTGCCCACCAGCCCAGAACCTAGTTCGCTTGTTCCCGAATCGAGTAGTGGCGCTGGCGCCGGAGCTGTGGTAGTTCGCCGACACAATGGGCATGTTGTGCGGAAATGTGATGCAGCTGGATTCCGCACCAGCAAGTCCGAGGACCATCTGCAGCAGATCCAGCGGGAGGGCATCGCTGCTGTGATACCTATCGACATCGATGAGGATGTGAATAGTTCATTGAACACGTTGCTGGACACGCGTCAAGACTCCGAGGACTCACAGGTGAGTCGCCGCCAGGCCTAGACACTCCCACTCCTCGCAGGATAGTCCGCCGGATAGAGCTAGACAGCGAACAGTCGAATTTTCCTTCCGCCAGATCTCCCCCAGAACACTCGACACTCGTAGTTGATGAGTTACTATCCCGCTCCCCGTTTTGAAGTGCTTTTGTAGAGTTCGGTTTACGTTAACTGGTTTCTGTAGTCTGTTGTCCATTTCTATCTATATGTGTATGCGTGTGTGTTAGCCATTGCATTGTTCTATAACCCATTCCATATCATCTAATCATCCCTAGACCTAGACCCAAACCCACTGTTTTTCTTGCTCACTTGTTACTTTGAACTTTCCTACTTAACTTAACTTACTTACTACTAAACAACTCTCTGTCTATCTTACTCTCTTGTTTCGTATTTCTTTCTTCTTTCGTTTTCTCGTTTCTCTGTTTCCTACTTTGACTCTTCTCAAATCGATTTGATATGCGCAATTTATTGTCCCCCGTGAGCTTTCTAGTCGATGGCCACTGTAATTGTAAACAACTCGTCACTGGCCTCGAACAACAACGAGGGTGAGCAGAACGACAACCGGAGCAGCAGCAACAGCAGCTCCAGCGACAACAATAACTGCAGCAGCAACATCAGCGAACCAGCAGCAACATCTGCAACTGCAACAATCACGACGACTGCAACATCAACGAGAACGATGAACTGCAGCAGCAAATTAAACTATATTTTATGCAAAAAGGTTGCCATTTGCATAGTTGGCATGCTGATTAATGTGACTTTTGATTTTGATTTCGTTTCGATTTTGCCATTTTTGATTTGTTGCCTGCGCTTGGAAAAGTTTTGTATGTAGAAGATGAGAACCTCTCGATACCAAACGCTTGTCCACAACGTACATACACCACAACACACGAACCAAATGCATACCACCCAAGTTTCTGACACTCACACAGAACAGACACCGAACGCTTTCAGCACTCGGAAAATTGTTTAGGACTCTCCTCAGAGAGATTGGGCAACGGCAAATGGAAATTCGAGATCTGACTAAAAATCCATAGAGCATAATACCGATTAACGAAAAAAACCCTTTGTTATTACTGTATTACTAATATTTGGTTTGTTGCAAATCCTAGGCATCGGATCGCGACCGGATCGTGTGGACTTATAATGCCCCTCTCCAGCCGCACCAGTTGGCGGCCCTACAGCGACAGCAGCAGCAACAAGAGCAGCAATTCCAGCAGCAACAGCAACAACTCCAGCAGCAACATATGCAGCAACAGCAGCAACTACAGCAGCAACATCAGCAGCAGCAGCAACAACAGCAGCAACTCTACGGTCAGCAATCGCATTCAAATTCACATTCAAGTTCCATTAGTTCGTCGCCCCAGCACTCGGCTGCGGGTAGTCCGGCCTCGCCCACGTCGGTTTCCTCGTCGGTGATGTCCTCGTCGGGCTCCAAAGGTGCCCTGGGCCTGGGCAGCAGCAGCAATGGTCCCATTGCTGCCGTGCATCAACAACAGCAGCAGCAGCGAGAGCAAGGCGGTCAGGTCGCGTATCTGCCCAGCGGGATTCCTGGTCTGCTGAGCTGCCCAGGCGGCGGGCCCGGGAACAATGGTGGTGGTGGAGGCATTGGTGGTGGTGGTGGCAACAACGATCAGAGCGTCTCAGAGGCCATTTCGAATATATCTAGTCCTGACTACCAAGACGACGATAACTTATTGAGTTCTCGCGATATTCTAGGCGGCATGGTACTTAGCGATCCCAGTGACTCGGACTCCACCATTCTCGTCTCGGACGCAGCCGCGCAGCAGCGCCAGCAGCTTAAACAGCAGTTGCGTGCCCAGCAGCAACAGCAGAGGGACAGGGAACGGGAGAGGGATCGGGATCGGGATCGTGAACGGGAACAGTCCGAGCACAAGGTGGTCATTCAAGTGCGTGGACTGGACAGCAACAGCAGCGGCAACGGTAACAACACTCGCTCCGAGGAGGATGGTTTCACGCTGACGGAAGGGCCGCTGGGTTCGATGACCATCGGCATGCTAGATGCCTCGCCGCCAGTCTCCGACGACGGCAGCGATGTGGAGTCCCTACACTCGTATCACTACTCGCCCAAGGCCGTGGACATGCCCTCGGCTATTCGCCTGGCCAAAAGACTGTACTCCCTTGACGGTTTCAAGAAGAGCGATGTGTCGCGACATCTCAGCAAAAAGTGAGAATGCAGAATTTAAATATATATTTTTGCAAATTGACTAAACGTTCTTCCCATTCCCAGCAACGATTTTAGTCGAGCGGTGGCCGATGAGTATCTCAAGCATTTCACGTTCGAGAAAAAGTCACTGGACCAAGCGCTGCGTGAGTTCTTGCAGCAGTTTTCGCTGTCCGGCGAAACGCAAGAACGGGAGCGTGTACTAGTTCACTTTTCCAAGCGCTTCCTGGATTGCAATCCTGGCACCTTCAATTCTCAGGACGCCGTGCACACGCTGACCTGTGCCATAATGCTGCTGAATACGGACTTGCACGGCCAGAACATGAATCGTAAGATGAGCTGTGCGGAGTTTGTCGACAACCTGGCAGATCTCAACGATGGCGAGAACTTTCCCAAGGATGTGCTCAAGTCGCTTTACCAGGCCATTAAAACCAAGCCGCTGGAGTGGGCACTGTAAGTGAAATAAAACCAATTTTAAATTATTTTATTATTTACTCATGATTTATTTCTGCAGAGATGAAGAGGCAGGTGATCTGCAGCAGCAAAGAGCCAACAATACTGCCCTGGGCAATGTGGGTCAGAATCCTTTCCTCGATCCCCCGGAACTCGCAACTGCTGTGGAGTACAAAAAAGGCTATGTGATGCGTAAATGCTGCTATGACAGCAGCTTTAAGAAAAGTAATATAAATAAGAATTTTTAGAAAGAATTTAATTAATTTATTAATACCTGCATCACAGCTCCATTTGGCAAACGCTCCTGGAAAATGTTCTATTGCACGTTGCGTGATCTTGTGCTGTATTTGCATAAGGATGAGCACGGTTTTCGCAAAAGTCAAGTGAGTAAAGAGTCATTTCTATGTGACAATTATCATCTAATATTTTCTACCTTCTTTTAAAGATGTCCGACAATCTGCACAATGCAATACGCATACATCACGCACTAGCCACTAAGGCCAATGACTACACCAAGAAGCAACATGTGTTCCGTCTGCAGACGGCCGACCAGGCCGAGTATCTGTTCCAGACCAGTGATTCCAAGGAGCTGCAGTCATGGGTGGAGACGATCAACTATGTGTGCGCCGCTATATCAGCGCCTCCGCTCGAGGGCGGCGTGGGCAGCCAGAAGCGGTTTCAGCGTCCACTCCTGCCTAGCAAACAGTCCAAGCTTTTACTAGTAAGTACAGGAAGATAGTTATCCTTTGCACAGATGCTGACTCTATTGGTTTACAGAAAGAGCAGTTGGACTCGCACGAAGTGCAGTTGGCCCAGTTAGATCAGGAGCTGAACGAGCACAAGAAGGGTCCGATTCCCAGCAAGGGTTTAGCTCTGCAAAATTACAAGGAGAAGGAGAGCTACTTGCAGTACGAGGTAATTAGTAACTAAATAATTTCAAAGAGGAATTGATTTTTAATTTAATAATTTTTTTGAAAGCTGCGTCGCTATCGCACCTATGTGAGCATCCTGAGCGCCAAGATGCTAGCTGACCAGCAGCAATTGGAGCTGCAGGCCCAACAGCCGACTCCAGCGGCGCACGAGGAAGAGGCCGACACATTCCCAGTGGGCAACCCCGCCTGCACGACACCCACGCCGCAAAGTATTAACCAAAAGGATCAGCAGAAGGAGCCGCACCAACAGCCAACGAACAGGTACAGTCAGCAGCAACGCCCCAGCGGCAGCAGCTCCTCGTCCTCCGGCCATGTGCAGCAGGACATTGGCTGACGCGTAATGGGAGTTTTCTCAGCTTGTGTGGTTTAAGCGATCGCTCCGATCCATTTGTTCTGTTCTTTTCATAATTAGCTATATGTTTCCTTCTGTTTTTTTTCGCTTTCGTTGTTATTTTGTGTTGTGCTTTCCCAAGATTTCCTTACCGTTGTGTTGTTCGTCCCACAGTGCGCCCAGAATTTCAGTGTCGATCAGTGCGACTTACCGCAAGGTGTTCTGGGACTCCGTTGGCTGTTGTGTTTTGTTATGTTGCTGGCATTACTGTTCGATTATCACTGTAATGACATAATTTCATTTTGTAAATATATTTCGTGTGTGTTTCGTTTTTGAATTTCGCCTGCGTCATATTGCCACATCCCCACAAATACAAGCTTTAATTTTGAATAGTTTTAACTATGATACGTATAACAATAACTGAATCCAGACTTAAGTGTTGCGCGTAGGCAATTAAAACCATGAGGCGACAGAGAGATCCCTAATGTAATTAGTTCTTATGTGAATAATGGTTTTATTTTGGAAGCAACCACAACCACACAACATGCTGTGAAAACTCAATGAACAATTCGTAATCGATAATTAGGAATTTAGAAATCCAAACGTTCGACCGTTTGAAACGATTTAAAGTCAAGATTGGAAATAGTTAACTATAGAAAACAGTTTTTTGTAGCACTTGTAGCAATCCAAAGTTTTGGCGTTATATGTATACAAACCAAAAAATATAAATTTAGAAACGAAATTGAACGAAGAATTGTAGAAAACACAAATGTGGTTCATTAGTAGAAAACGTTTACGTTTAAACCTAAGCTAGAGGCATTCAAAATATACATGCAAAATAACATAATCACAAGCGAAAATAGCATTATACAAGTTTTACAAACCCGAGCACACATCCAACAGATAGAGATACAATTTTAAGTAGACAAAATCAATTAAGCCATCCCACACCAACGCACTACACTAATTGCTGGTAACACGGATGTACCATAAAAACTCATGCTAACCCGACGACATTTGGTGACCCCGACCCTTAGGTGAACCCAAAGCAGTTGCCGTTACTCGTTGCCATTCCGTTACCCTGTTCAAATGCGTTTACCACGTTCCAACCAAATGAAAAGCAAAACCCAAATGGAAGAATTCTTCAATCTTACAGATGGTTCGATGTCTTCTGCTGCTGTAGCCCTCTCTGGCGGCACATGATCCATTCGAAAAGCTATTAACCAACTTAGTCTCTTGCCAAGATTTAGCATCAATCACAGCACACGAAGCACCACTCCAGAGGCTAGTGCTCCACTCCAAGAGGTCCTCCTTGTAAATGCCCTGACCCGTACTGACCGACAACCTGTCTTAAATGTGAGCAGGCCTAGGCCAAATCTCAATGTTAATTGTTAACTCTGCAGTGTCTAGCTTGGCTTAGTGCGAATCCAAACGAATATCCACCATCTCAAACTCTGTTTTTTATTTCCAATCACAATTGCTAATCTTGCTTATTGTTTTACACTTGCAGAAAAGAGAAGAAAAAGAAATAATTACGTTTTGTTTCGCTCTTGATTTCGATCATTTCAAAACTCGCATACCAACACAAACACCTTCACCACAATCCCCGCCTTCTGGCCATTTGGTAAGTGCCATGCCCAGATTGAATTTTGCCATTGATCCGACTTATGCATGTAACTATCTTTTCTCTTCCCACCAGAGAAGCAGGCGAATGAATGAATTTGATTAGAATACTCCGAAATGCCAAGCTGCCTCAGCCGGGAACACAGACAGATCACATCCACAGAACCACTCACCCACTCGCATACTCAGCACCACACACGCCAAGCCACTACCACCCACTACCCACTTACACTCAAGCGTTGCGGCTGTGCCGTGTCTGCCACTGAAGAAATTCGGAATTTGTGCACTTTCAATTACGTCAATCCCATTGGGGGTTAAGAGGGAAATATCATTTGAGATAATTAGACTACCGACACGATAATTAACGAGGAAGAGTTTTACGTTTAAAGGTCGTCCATCAGAAAATATCGGCATTATCTTGAATTCAAGACATTGATTTCATTCGTATGAAAGCTAGTTATCCAAAGAAGGATACTCGGAATCGGTTTCATATGTTTTAAAGCTAAAAAATTCGATTTGAATTATCGTTAATTTTTGCTTCGCCAAAGATTCTGCTGGACGGCTGTTTAGGAACGAGAATAAAAACTGCTTATACACATAGACTTATTATTACAAGAGTTGATAAACAATACTTACATCATTACCTATGCTATCATTATAAATGATAAAAATAAATTATAAATTATTGAACAATATCTCTATGCAACCAGAAGATGGAGATTATCGGCAGTAACAATAACGCAATGAGAACGAGGATAAGAGCATTAGCACTAAACCTAAGCAATTACTACCATACCATGTACGACTTGTTTTTTGGTCTTTTGCGATTATCATTATCACATTAACTGTGTAGGTACACTTTCTCCAATATTATGTACGGATTAATATATTTATTTAAACAATTATCGGTTGATTACGCGACATGTCCATGTAGCTAGAATATGAAATTAATATCGATTACGGGGTAATGAGAGAATGGAGGAAACAATAAAATTAAATACATCATATATTTTTGAATATATTATAATTATTGTATTGTGTAATTATGTAAATGCAGAATATATTACATTGTTTATAATAATTTTTAACAATTACTACTGAAACGGCAATAAATTCGAAAATACAAACTAAACTAAACTAATCTACAAAAGTGACAAAAACTTGCCTGCAAACCAAGCGCCTAAACGTATGCATATTGTATATTTATTTAGTCAAACATTTTAACCGACTTACAAAGGGCATCACTTAGTTTTTAAAGCAATACCCTTTCGATAACAATTCACACAAGCATTCAATTGAGTAAACTTTTGGCGAAAAGGGAAACAAGAAGACGAACGTGGAGACGGTGATTTTTATGTGAACATTTATTACTAAATGATAAGCTTTGAGTAAACTTAGGAAAGCCGTTATACTATGCATATACACATATATATATGAACTATATATAGTATATATGAATGCTCATGTGAGCAACCAAACAATTACGATATGAATCATTAAATACTTCCGAAAGCATTAAACCGCCAGCATTTTATCTTTAATCCTCCGTTTTAAATGTGAACGATGTATCCGTTTCCATTAGCATATTTTCCAAACGTAGTCCCAGCTGGCGTCGCTGCAAGTCAACCTTTACCACAGATGACACTATGCGATCTCCTATGCTAAGCTGGCTGTTTTTCATGTTACTATTGTGTATAAGGCCATCGCGATCTACTCCGACGTCTACGAAGGCACCAAACTGCGTAACATTGGTTACGGCACCTGTTAATACATCTCCTATGCTTAGATCATCCAGACGCGTTAGGCCTTGTTTAAAGAGAGGCCGCTTGTCCAAATCAGCTCGATAGTCCTGAAGCAATTCACGTTGCAGGGCAACCAGTAGAAATTCCAACTGAAATTACGAATTAGATTTATTTAAAATATATTTTCATGGTATGTGTCAGTATGTATCTTACCCGCTCCATTGGTAGCTTGTGCTGCTTGGCTATGCGATCGAGTTTTGCCTCGGATTCAGCAAACTGCTTAATGGTTGCTATAAAGCCTGCCTTGCCCACATCTGACAGCTTTAGTTCACATTCACTTACGATACTGAAAGCACAAAAAGTTAGCTGATAAGGCTTTAAATTTAAAAGTAACATTATGATCGCCGATCTGAAGCGGAAATATGAAGAGAGGTGGCATTATCCCCCCAAACCGTCACCGCCCAAGGTAAAGTATGTTGCTTGTGGAAAGGTACCCTTTTACGGTCAAAACGAAACGCCGGTGTATAAGCCGTGCTGGCAGCATCCGCTTAACGCTCCGGATAATGCTCGCTTCGGAGTTTGCTGGGAGTACCCGCCAGAGCGCTACAAGCGTCGACCTCTTCCGCCTCCATGTCGCGGCTCTTCCATTCCTCTCCATTTGCTAAAGCCTACATTCGATCATTGTAAGAACATCTACTCTCGGTATGACTTTAAATTGGAGAAGTGTGTGCACGAACAAATCCTTGTCGTCGACAAAAAACTCAAGAAGCTTAGGAAGCAGCTGACGAAAGCTAAACCCTTTCAGATCGAAAGGGTTAAAGAGATGCGATACCATGGAGTGCGCTATCGCATTTTAGCCGGTTCCACCGGATGCACAAAGATTTATCCCGAGTATCTTAGCCGGATGACCGAGGAGCGGGAACTTTGCGAGTTTCAGAGGGCCTACAATCTCGTTAATCAATCCAAGTAAGTAAGTTTAGAATTTACAACCTTTTATAATTAAAAAACCGTTAGCACTGATTTGACAAAGTTATTTCTGGACATGCGTGAATCCAAACAAGAGCTAAATAAACGCCTAGCCAGGATAGATCGGTCTTTAGATAGTATATTTCTGCAAGATCTAGATTCGGTGCTTCAGATAATAGAAGACTTAAATACCTTCTTTTTTGGGGTGGTCGTGAAGCTCAAGACCTGGGCAGAATTAATGGACCCAATGAAGGAGCACTCTATTGAAGACTACCTGGCGCTTTTGAGTCAGGAGTTTGACTTCAAGAGTTTCATGAGGGCCGGGATGGAGAACTGCACTTGTAAACGGTGCGACAAAAAGGATCCCTTGAAGCCGTATCTCCCATGCTGGTGTCAATACCATGAATCAAGCGATGAAATTCCCCAAACTATGAAGTTCGACGATAATTGCCCTAAAAACATCTCTGTCAAGATCTCGCAAAGCGATAGTGATTTTGTCAATAATTCTAGTGACACCTCCCAGTTAGTGAAAGCGGCCAACGAGAAGGCCAGAATTGCAGCGGAACAGGCGGATTAAAGTGCTTTATAATGTGCTATTCAGTTTCGTTTGTTGGCTAATAAAATTCTTTACGGATTGGACTTACCTTTCTGCAACCTCATAGCTCTCCGGATGCACCCAAGTACAGTCTAAGGGGTTTTTAAGTCGTCCACCCACGCTCAGTGGTTCGATGCGCACAAAGCCGGCGCATTGTACAAAGGTTTTTTCGCCTATGGTTCGCACTGAGAGCAGATCCTTTCGGGACTTAAAAGGTCCATTTTGTGTTCTATATTCGATGATCTTTTCGGCCTTCTTCTCCGTTAGACCAGCAATGTGCCTATATAGTAATAATATCGTTATCATATAATACGTTGGACTTTTGTCGTTTACTTACTTAAGCACACTTAAGCTGGCTGTATTGAGGTCCACGCCGACAAAACTGACACATTCGGAAACAATATCGTTCAGCGATTCTGTTAGAATCTTTTCCGAAATATCGTGCTGGTACATGCCAACTCCCAAATGACGAGGTTCTATTTTCACATACTCACTAAGCGGATCATTTAATCGACGAGCTATGGATACTAGGGAAAAATTGTAATTCTTATTTATTTGTCTTCATTTGAGACTAACTGAAGTCCAAACCTGCACTCCGTTCGTTCGTATCCATTTTAGGAAACTCCTTGACAGCCACATCACTGCAGGAGTAGACAGAAGCACCGTTCTCATTAACGATGCTGTATCGAATGCATTTGGCGTCTAGAATGCCGGCAGTGAACATATCAGAAAGCCAGTGTTCTGTTGAACGGCATGCAGTCCCATTTCCCAAGGCAATAATTTTGCAGCTTTAAAACAAGGGCGTTATTTAAACGGACTTCGAAAATCGATATCAAAATATATATACTTGTGATCAGAAAGCAACTTAATTAGTTTTTCCTCGGCAGCTTTTTTATTGGACCTGACACCATGAGGGTAAATAACACCCGTGTCCAGCACATCGGCCGTCTCGGATATAACCGCTATTTTGCAGCCATTTGTGTAACCTGGATCTATACCCAAAATACGCTCGCCTTTTAGAGGTGACATCAGTAGCAGTTGCTTTAGGTTCTTCGCGAACACATCAATAGCTGCCTTTTGGGCCTTTTCCTTCAAACTGGTTCGAATTTGCCTGCACATTAACGGCTGCACTGTAATTAGTTATTAATTACGAATACTTATGTTTAATTAACATTTTTCTTACATTTCTTTGAGTAGCATTCTTCAAGCGATTTTGAGAATACCTCCCTCCTTAGAGGATACTGGAGTCCTTCGTTCATGTACTGATCTGTTATAAACCGCATTAGATCTCGTTTAAGGTAATCGTTTGTATCTAATTTGACTGAAAGGAACTTGTTCTTCTCCGCACGGTTGATGGCCAACATTTGATAGGGTTTTATGGTTTGAACGTCACATTGAAAGTTGAAGTAATTTTCAAACTTTGAACTGTCCAATTTTTTGTCTGCGATCCCGCTGGATCCTTTGCTACTGCTTGCTTTACTTGAAGTAGATTTAGAAGACGACGATTCTTTGGTCTTACTGCATTTCAGGATTACGCGATGAACATTTTGTCTGCAATGAGATTATACTTATATAATTAAAAATTAAGGTTTAGCTAGTTGATTGGTTTCTTTCAAAATAGTTGTTTGGTGAACATTGATCATTAAAAATCGTAGCTTACAATCTCCGAATCTCTTCCAGAACATTTGTATTTTTGCTAATGTTGTGAATAATAATGTTGCAGATTCCAGTCATCACAAGTGCTTCCGTAGCCAAGGCCTCGTTTTTGGGGTCTACAATTTCTGAGAGGTTTACTTTAGGGGCTGAGCCGTAAAGCAATCGGTCGGCGTGTTCTTCCAGGCCCAAAGCTTTGGCCCGTTCCGCCAAAGTTCCCTTACTAGCAGGCTTGTAAGGCGCGTAAAGGAACTCAAGTTCTTCGTTAGTTTTAGCGCACATCAGCTCCTCTCGAATTTCTCTATTTAGGACATTTTCACGGTCCAACTGACCAACAATGTGCTCTGCCTTTTTTCGCAGATCCACGATCTCGGTGTACGTGTTTCGTATATCTCTTAGACGATCTGGAGCTATATGATCCACTAGATCTCTACGGTATCTGCAAGTATATAAGGATTAGCAGTAAGTGCGAGTATATATTGATTACAACAGCCCACCTGCATATAAATGGAATGGTGTTTTCGTTCTCGAAGAGCTGCACAATATTGCGTGCTGCCTGCGGTTGTATGTTCTCTGTTTCGGCAAGAAGCTCATGAATGCTCCACACCTTGCGGCGCTCCCAGAAGGAGCTCCGCCCAGTGGTTGAGCTGGATACAGGTCCCTCTGGTTGAGTCTTCGCTGATAAGGGGACCACGTCCTCGTTATTGTACTCATTAGAACAAGCATACTCATCATCTTTATCCTTTGCGGCACGCTTTTTCTTGGGATCTGAAGCTTGCGAGCTCTTCTGTGTTCGAGCATTTCGTTTGGTCGAAGTTGAGGGTTTATTTTGCACATCCGGGTCGGCATTGACCTCATTGGGACAAGCATTTTCGTTTTCTTTTTCTTTTCCGGCGCGCTTTCTTTTGGGAGCTGGTGCCTCAGAAGCAGCACTCCTGGATGTTGGCCACCGCTGACGCCTAGTGCTGGAAGGCATAAACGTAAGCGTAGAATCCTTAAATAGGTCGTAAGGGCGGTACATACCCGCCTGCCTGCGCATCTGCTGCACGATCTATCCTGCTGTTCTTTGCCTCTGGCGGTCTGTAATCATCGTTTTCCGAAAGATTCACTTCCTCATCCGAATCGCTGACTACAACTACCGCCGCTTTTGCAGCTGCAGCGCGTCGAGGTCTTGTGGACATTTTAAATTCAACAAGTCAGTTAAACTAGGGTCCACAAAGCAAAGGTCTCCTTGATGCTGAGTTTTTGTTTATTTTCGGCAAAGCAACAGGTGGAAGCTGTTAGGTAATATTTACAGGCGTATATATATAATATTTCACAATATCAGTTGTAAACATTTACACGTTTTAAATATTTTCAAAAAGGGAAATGAAATAGGTTCAATAATATGGCGTGCCCTAGTTCAACCGGCAAATTATTAAATACTCGATTAAGTGCAACAGCTGATGGGGGCGCCTTTCGATAACGATAGCAAATTATCAGCTGCTGAAGGCGGTTTTGTTTTTATAGCTTTCTTCTTTTGGTTAATTTATCAATGAAAAATGCTTAAATATGCATTTCAATGTGGAGCAATACATACTAATATGTACCTTTGGCACCTGTCCAATCAAATCTGCAAGCGTAGTTATAGTAGCAAGATCAGGAACATAGGAATTTTAGCGCACATAGATGCAGGTGAGTGATACTAAAACAATACCTTTTTGCACTGGGGTTTAACTGATAAATAATTACTTTTTAGGTAAAACAACGACCACAGAACGCATGCTCTTCTATGCGGGAAAAACACGGGCTTTGGGAGAGGTGCATCGGGGTAATACGGTTACCGATTACCTAACTCAGGAGCGGGAACGCGGCATAACAATATGCAGTTCGGCAGTAACCTTTTCTTGGAATGACCACCGGTAGAGCTTTCTATTCTTGCCTTTCATTTTACTTATACCCTCCATTCTAGCATTAACCTTTTGGATACACCCGGCCACATTGACTTCACTATGGAGGTCGAGCAATCCCTATATGCCGTGGATGGTGTAATCGTTGTTTTGGATGGCACCGCTGGCGTAGAGGCGCAAACAGTCACCGTGTGGTCGCAGGCGGACAAGCACAAGCTACCTCGTCTCATATTCGTCAACAAGATGGATCGTCCGGATGCAGACTTTGAAAAGTGCGTCAGCGATCTGAAAGACAAGCTGGAAACGCAGCCCGTTTGCTTGCAGTATCCTGTAAAAGACGAAGATGGAGTATTGGGTATTAACTATTTTTAAGATTTCCTTATAGTTTATATAAATTTATTAATATATAGCTATCAATGATGTGATTACATTGGAGAGGATAAGTTGGCAACAAAAGGATTTGGGACGCAGTTACGAAAATGTAAAATTAGAGCCATCAGACGATCTGCGCCAGCTGCAGGAAAAGCGCAACGAACTAATTGATAAATTGTCAGGATTGGATGACGAACTGGCCGATGTGGTGATCAGCACAGAAAGCTTTGACAATGTGGATAATGGCCTTATTCAAAGAGCTCTTCGAAGGGCTACCAGCCAGCAGAAAGTGGTGCCCGTATTACTAGGATCTGCCTACAAAAACGTTGGCATTCAACGACTGATGGATGCTGTGAACACTTATTTACCGGCTCCCGAGGAACGTAACCAGATCTATGACTGCTTTGGGTAAAACAATGATGTTGAATGAGATATCATTCTGTACTAAACTTTACTATGCAGAACAGAAGTGGCTGGCAAAGTCTTTAAGATCGTGCACGACAAGCAACGTGGTCCATTGACTCTGGTACGGATTTTAAGGGGCGAGATCAAACGAGGTATGCGTTTGATTTCCGTTCGTGGTCAGGCCGAAGTTGTTTCAAAACTATATGAGCCTTTGGCCGACGAATATCGAGAAGTCAGCGCTGTGCAGTCTGGTGATGTTGTGATATGTGCTGGTCTTAAGGTAAGCTACATCTTATATAATAATAATTAAACGCCTGCATTTAATGGCTCTTAATAAAATATAGTCCACGGTGACGGGAGATCTGCTGACCTCCAGCCACTCAGCTTTAAAAAATGCTCAGAAACGTTTAAAGCAAAGCCTGGGTGCTTCTGCACTGAAAGAGGATGATGATGAACTGGATGAATCAAACGAGTTGTTTGCCATCGACCCTCAAATTCCCGACGCCGTATACTTCTGTTCCATTGAACCTCCTAGTGTATCCTCACAAACGGCCATGGAACAGGCACTCAAGCAACTGCAAAGGGAGGATCCTAGCCTGAGAGTCAGCTACGATTCCGTCACTGGACAGACAGTGCTTGGTGGAATGGGAGAGTTGCACATGGACATCATCAAGTCACGTATTCTTAGTGAGTACAAAATCGATGTTGATCTGGGTCCTCTGCAAATTGCTTACAAGGAGACAATTGACTCACCATCGTTAACTACGCTAAGTGTTGAGAAGGAAATCGCTGGCAGCAAGCAGAATGTCAGTATTACTCTGGAGTTGGTTAAGAATCAAAATGAGTTATTTAGGTAGTACCTAATGGCTATTATCAAGAAAAATTAATATAATATTCGTTTTTCCAAAAAAGTTTAGATAAGTCACCAGAAAACTTGCCAAACCTCAACACGCTGCGACCGCGTATTCTTCAGGTTCTTCGGAAGGGCTCTATTAGTGCTCTGGAGCGAGGACCTCGCGTTGGTGGTCAAGTTGTGGAGACCCAGATTCGCCTGCACAGTGTCAATATTGGACGCGGCACAGCAGATTCCTTTGTCATGGCTACGGCAGCTCAGTGTGTCCAAAAGGTAGGGTAGAATGGTTATGGTTATGTGATTTACTAATATTATCAATGCCTTCAAAGCTGCTAAGCATGAGTGGAACTAGACTGTTGGAACCGATTATGTCCCTTCAAATTGTGGCACCTAGCGAACGCATTTCTGGCATTATGGCCGATCTTTCACGACGACGTGCGCTAATTAACGATGTTCTACCGAAGGGTGATAGAAACAAGGTATATATTAAACGCATAACTTTTTAGGACTTTCACTAAATCTACCTGTTTTAGATGATACTGGTGAATGCTCCCCTGGCAGAGCTTTCCGGTTACTCAAGTGCTCTGCGCACAATTAGCTCTGGTACAGCCAGCATGACGATGCAACCATGTGGTTTCTCTTCCATGAACTCTGCGGACGAATCGCTGGCGGAGCTAAGGTCCCAAGGCCTCGAATAGATTCTAGTACACCAAAAATTGTTAATTAGTTGTACTTCAGCAGGCGATCTTTCAACTGTCAGGCGTAATTATGTGTTTGTATATTCAGCCCAACAATAGATATTTTTGTTTACCAATACATGTCGGACCTATATTTCGTTGTTAGTTTTCAGAATCGGGCCATAACACAACATTTTTAAAAAGTGTAAAAAATTTGCGTGAAAGATTTAGTTTCTTTTTTGTTAAGCGCTAGGCGCAACTATGGCGTTCTCCACGCAGAAAGAGTTCTTTCACGTTCCGTTTGGTAATGAGACATATGAGTTTGAGTGCGTCGACGCATGTGTGAAGTTGAAGACCTATCCATCTACAATCGACGACAGATCATGGTCAGCAAACGAGGAGAGAAAGTCGCAGTTTGTAGCTGATTTGGTGGCCTGCAATTCACCGATAAAGAAGCAAGGAGAAGGTAAGCCTCCTCCCATAACTCCACGTGGTCCTGAGGATGAGTACGGAAGTAACTTGGTGGTGAACGACAGTTTAATAAATGCCGCCGATAACACAATTGGTCGCATGCAGGATCTGATGATAAAGAACAATATTCTTCAGAAAAAATTAGCAGATTCAGATGAAAAACTCAGGACAGCCAATCAGGAGAGTGATGAAATTAAGCGGATTATGGATCAACGATACGACCCGGAAAAGAGCAAGGCCCTCAAAAATAAAATAAAGCAGTTGGCCGATGACAATAAGATAACTCCTCAGGACGAGAAGGAGCTAAATGATCTACAGGCGGCCATCGACGACATGAACAAGGCACATGACATCCTTGAGGCGGAGAATGCTAATCTTAAACGACTGATCGATAAGCAGTCAAAGCGATGCAAGTTGGACAGCATTCCAATTGATCCGGAAAAGAGCAACGACATCCCTTATCTACAGAAAAAGATAGACGATTTGGGCAAGGAGGTTGCTCTACTGCGTCAGTTCGAGGACGAAGTGATGAAAAGGTGTGCCAAAAAGTGTGGTTCCGGTGGTGGTGGTGGTGGAGGTTCAGGCCCTGCTGGTTCAGGTGCAAGTCCTCCTAGTAAGGGCACCTTTTCCCCAGATACTGATGCTGAGAACATCAAAAAGATTCTAGCCGACCGTGACGCCCTGCGGAAAAAGTGCAAAGAATTGGAAGAGCTAGAAGATAAGGTTAGCCAGTTGGAGGAAAAGGCCAACGAAGCGGAGTGCTTGACGAACAACCTCCAAGACAATATCCAGCAACAGTGTCAGAGCTTGCAGCAGATGCATTGCGAAATGCAGGAAATGCAGAACTACTACGAAAACGAGGTGGACAAGGCAAAGGGAAACGAGGAGATATTGAAGGTGGGCTCAAAAGCTCTATATAATTATGTGATTACAAAATTCGTTTATCCTTTTCAGTGCCGGTGCAAGCAAATGAAGCAGGAACTGGTGGCTGCAAAATGCGCCGTCCAGCGGGCACAGTGCCAGCAAATGGAGATTGAGGTTCTACGAAACGAGTTGCGGAAACGGGATATAGCTATCAACGCATATGACTGCCAGTACCAGCAGCTTCTGGTGAGTAGACAGCAAGCCGTTGAATTGGATTATCATTTTGCCTGGTGATTGCCCCTCAGCTAAAAGCCAAGATGTTCAAGAGCGCTGGCTACCGTTTCCTGGACGACCTGCCACCCTGCAGCGAAAGTTGCGTAGATGGTCCCGAAGAAGAGGACGAATAGTTGCATTCATCCAAACCGAAATACCTTTTCCTTTTTTCCAGAAAGTGTCCAAAATCACAATAACATTAACTGCCATTGATCGAAATCCATAGTTTTATGAAATTAAAACATTCATGCAATCGTAGTTGTGTCTTTACTATTTTCATAAATAGTGGCATTCTATATATTATATTAAGTGTACATTCTTTTACAAAAGTAACGGATTTTCTTTTAAATGTAAAACCTTTTGAAATTTATCGAATGCTGCTGGTGAAATCACGATAACGTTTTGTTTACCTATTGGAACCTATCGAATTATCGCTGTAATCACGTTTGCAAGCAGGACGCGTTAGTGCATTTAGGTTAATTCTTCAAAAGTTTGTTATTGAGGAGTTCCCTATTTATATAATAAATAAAATACGATGGAGAAGCTTGCGTCGGCTAAAACGTGTTTTAAACTGTTACAGGTGACTGGCAAATAAATAGATTAATCATACACATTCCTATTAACCAGGCTTTCATTGCTAATCGCAGGTTATGCCCGCAGTGCAGCTGGCGGCCTCTCTTCCAGGTGGCCTGGGTGTTTTGGCTCCTCCGCTACAGAATATGATCCAAATGCAGCAGGTGCGCCACCGACAGACCAAGCACTGGAAACCCGAGTTCAAGCGCTTGCGCAAGCTGAAATTCGTGAAGATGGATCTTCCAAATTTGCGCGAGAAACAGGAAGACATTAGCAAGGAGGAAATGCGCAGTCGGATGAAGGAACGTGGTGTCTTACCGCCACGTCCATGGATGGAGCGCCCCTTTCACATTAGCTGCACGGGCGGCATATTCGAAGCTTATGTTCCTCCCGAAGGCGATGGCAAGAAGTCAATCATCTCGACATCGGGTGCCAAGCAGAAGCTGGAATTCCTTGAGAAAAAGTCGAAGAGCCTAATGGCTGTACGTAAGATTCGTTCCTACGAGGAGAGTTTTAGCACCGACGAGTTTGGGTCCGAGGCCCAGGACATCTATATTCAGGCCCACACGCACATGGCAGCCAAGGAAAAATATAAGATCCGTGAGTTTGTCAGCGAACGTTGTTATCCAGAAATGATGCATAACGTTAAGGACAAAACCATTCGGTGGAAGTTCCTCCAGTCGCTAGAACCACCTCGAGTTGTTCATGCCCGTGTGACAGAGGTGATTACCAAGGAGAACCAGTTCGCTCAGGTCACTGTGCGCTTCCACAGCCAACAAATGCTGGCTATCTACGATCGTTTTGGCCGGCTGATGCATGGAAGCGAGATTCTTACCAAGGACGTACTCGAGTATGTGGTGTTTGAGAAGCACATCTCTAACGAGTACGGTAAATGGCGTCTGCACGACAAGATCATCCCAGATTGGCTGCCGGCCAAACAGCCGGCTCCCATTACATATCGCCTTATTGAAGATGTTGAAGAAGAGCCCCCCAAGGAACTAGAAGCCGGTGAGGAGGCGAAACAACTGGAATCAAGCAGCGAACAGCCCAAGGAGCAACTGCAGCTGGCCACTCCTGTTGAGAGTCGTGCGAAACCGTCCCTGAGCATTTGATTGTACTTTTTGTGGGCCGCCTGGCGGCTCAGAAGAATGCGCGTTAATGTTGTCAAATGATTTTGAGCCGCTGTCTGGTTAAATTATAATTTTAAAAGTTATTATTTGCATTTTGATATCTGATGGTTTTTATTTAAACATTTTTTAAGAAAAGATCTGGATCTGGATTCCGGGGGGCTTATTTAACTGAGATAAAAATTTAGCTATTCGAAGCCTAATTTTATTTTATTAAGAAAGTGGTGCTGATTGTATTCTGATTTTTAATTACCTCTTATTTTTAAAAATGTAAGAAATTGAAGTTCTTTTAGTGCTTAGTGCTTATTTTGATCGGATGGCCCGCGTTTACAAAATATTTGAAAAATTACTTTGATGGTTATTGATAAAATGCATATTGACAAATTTGTTGATACTGATAAGATGGGAAAAATCCTAACGGAAAATCAGTGCAATATTCGTTAAGATGTGTTAATTGTAACACCATTTAAATAAACTAATAGATTAAAAATAGGAAAAACTACACCAATTTCACGCAGAAAAATAAAATTAATCCATTTACGCATACGAGTAATTTTATGTCTGTTGTATATTTATACAAAATGTACTAAAACTAAAGCTTATTTTTGATAGTTATAAATACAGGCTTTCATACGGTAGTTTGTCATGGAGTTTTTTGGACATTCAACACGAAATAGTATATGAAGTATCAATAAATAGGGAACATATATATATATATATACAAGCAAGATCAGTAAAGCCATTTCAAATGCGTGAAGCACCCATATCACACGAAGCTGCTGCTAGGCTCATCGAGGTAAGCACACCGTGAGCCCGCCTCCTCTAGAGACTTTCGTCCCATTTCCAGTGGTATTTTGCTCACAAACGTTGCCGGTTTGTTGGCTTCTTTGGATGATGTCGGCACTTGTTTGCTGGGAGAGAACTTGTTGCAATAGTTGCCCGTAGTCTGGCTTACGGTCGCACCCCAGTTGGAGGGCTTTATGGGCAGCACCTTTGGCTTGGGCGGCAGCGGAGGCGGCGCTTTGGCAAATTCTGTTTGGTCCTGCGTAACGGCAGGCAACTCAGTCTCTAACTCCTGATCCACCTTCATAGGCGACACGGGCTGTTGGCTACGTGTGATTGACAAGCGTGGCGCTGGCTGTGGAATTTCCGTGGGCGATGCTGGTACCTTGCTCACGGGACTCAAATTGGCGCGCACCTTGCGTAGCTTTGAGACAGCTGCGCTGAGATTCTCCTTGTTTTTTAGGAAATCAGGCAGATCAAAATTTATCTCCGTGCCACGTTGATCCTCCAGCCGTGCAAGCTGTGCTCTCTTCAGGCCCTCGAGTAGTTCATCTGTAATTGGAAAAAAGAAAAAATTTAGTTTTATATTCTTCGTCGGAGGCACGGCAAGGCAACCCACCTTGGTGCTCGGCTACTCGCTCCGTCACCTGCAGCTTCACGCCTGCCTTTAGCTTGGCTATAATCGGCTTCTTGGGGTCAGCAGCCGCTTGAGTTGTTGTCGTCGCCTCTTCGGATTGCTGACTGCTAGTGGACTTCTTCTTGAGCTTGGGTAGTTTGCTGCCTGGAATGTTGCCACCATCTCGCTGCTGGCGCCGCATCCGTTCAAACAACGAGGAGGATCCCTCGGAGGGAGCCTCGTTGGACTTCATGGAGCACAGATCGACAGGGCGCGACTTTTCACTGGCCGCCGCATCTGCAGCCTTGCTGGCAAGCAGTTCGTTAAACACTTTGTTTGTCAACTCATCCAGCTGACCCTGCGGCAGAGGCTTCATTGGTTTACTTTGCTTCGGCGGCATGCTACTGCCGCCGCCTACCTGAAAATCCGGATTGAGCACGATGCGCAATCGCTGGCCATCGGCCATGGTTACGGGTTGATTGAGGTTCAGTGGGGCCTGAGTGTCCCTCATGATCACCTGCACCTGCTCCATTTTGTAGTTGTATTTGCTGAGTATAGGCCGGATTACCTCGTGAAGCTGCTTCTTGGGTTTGCTCTTCACCGAGATAACCTTCGGGTCGGGCAGATCAAGCTTGAAGGCCACCCGCCGCTCGATCAGCACCTCCTTGCCGGCTAGAATTTGTGAAGGTTGTTGCACATCGATGGATTTGGTGCTGCCCTGGAACACTATGTCGTAGTAAGGATACACAAGGTTCCTCTTCTCCAGCAGGCGTTCCACCAACTCCCCGACTGTTTCACCAGCTCTTGTCTGGACTATAGTAGTTGCTCCATCGGTAAGTATCACTCGACACAACGAACATACGCTCTCAACGCTGGCTCCTTGTCCGCCGGTAGCTGTGCCCGCATCAAAAGAGGACAACGATGATCTAGAACTGTGCAGATCACTCATAGAATTCTGCCCGGAAACTAGCTTCAGGGAAGCACAGGTGAGTTGGGCAGGTGGAGGTACTGGTGGTGCTGGCATCAGCGAATTTTGGAGGTCAGCCATTATCTCCGTGCGATCGCGGGATTTACTCCGCGTCTTCCGGTGCCAGGGGAGCAAACTCTTGCGCCTCCGGTCCTCCGCATTGCTAGCCGATTTTTTGAGCTGTTAGGAGAATTCGGTTTAGTGGGATGACCAGAAAAATACTAATGAACAACTTACCTTAGAGAAGGCACCCACGTGAAAATTTGTCTTGAGCAGCTCGTCCAGATCCATTCCGCTGTAGGGCAACGGCTGGTTCTTCTGCTCAGCCTCCACGCAGCTTTTATATAAGTCCGAGCGAATGAACCGCTGATAGCTGTCGAACTTCATTAGCTTGAAGATCTGCTTCTGTGCCGGCGCAAAGATGTCTGGATCGGCGCCGGCTAGCTTCTCCTCCGTTAGGCTGCGTGCCTGTGAGTCCACATTAACTGGATCACTGCTGCTGTTGGCCAAGTGCTTGCCAAAAATCTCACGTGCCTGAACGACTCGTTCTGCTTCAGATTCCAACAGACGGTAGCGTTCGCAGGCAGTCCAAAAGTAGATGTTCTCAGCAGAGAACTCCGTCTTCAGGAATTCAGAGAAGGTTTGCATTCCGGCGGCATCCTGCAGCATCCGTTCAAAGGAACCACCCCAGCTGCTGGGACAGCCGTGTTCCTGGGCTGCTTCCTCAGCTGAAGTTACGGATACGGTAACGGCGGAGGGCGGTGCTGGCGTGGTTAGGATCTTGGGCACTTGCAACAGACTTAGCTGATGCTGGCTGCGCGTTGACTTTAGATCTGAGTCCAGCATCAGTGTTTTGATGTACATGTCGTTGTCGGAGGCGTTCATTGAGGCAGTGCGTCTCACAGGCGACGACTGACCTTGCATTTGCTGCTCTTTGGCCACCTTGTCAGAGCGGGGTGTGCGAAAGGAAGATTGTCCCCAGGCTCGGCGGAAGGGCGAGGCATTGGCGGGCAGAGCGCGATTCTGGAAAGGTCAACAAGAGATATGGGATTATAAGCAAGTTTCTTAATGCAAGTAAATATATGTAAGAATACTATTAATAAACCGGACCTAAAATGGACTACAGCTCCAACAGAACCTTATCTTATATTTTTGTTAAGAAAAAATGGTTTCTCTACCGATATCATATATGATAATTACTTAGAAATCCTTTGTTTCAATTAAAATGAACTTGTTACAAAAGCATGGTAGAAAGAAGACATCGATTCATGGGCCATTCACAACTACAAATTGCGGGCATCCAGAAGAGACTGTCATTATCATGGTCAGACGGGGTACGATAAACTTTTGAACTCCTCGAGTCCAGCTCATAAATTTGTTTGTGTGACGCATGATGAGTCTGGTTCCCCTTTCTAAAAACTATCTTTTCGAATTGTGTGTTAAGACATTCTGGAGTGGTTCTATGGGAGTTGTTTCGAGGCGAGTTCCCCTATGCTGATGATGATGATAATGATGGTGGTGGTGTGGTGCCCCATACCCATCTACTTAGTGCACTTGGAGCTACGATAATCGCTGCTCAAACTGACAGAGAATCTCTAGTCGCATAGTGGTCATTGTATTTGTGCATTTCCCACCGACTTTTCGTTTAACGACAGCTTTGTGCGCCATCCCCTTATGGCAAGAGATTAATGAATTCCACTCCTAAGCCCATCATTCTATTCAGATCTCAAGTTTCGCAGAAACCATAACTCACTCCCAGCTCAAAAAACACAAAACAGAAAACAACAAAAAATACATTTGTTTTGTCGCTAGCGCTGATTGTTATAGATAAAAGAGAAATTTTCAAACATTTCCGGTTGGTTTTAGCTTACTCTCTATATACGAACCCAAAAAGGGGAAAAGCAATTTTCATCCATTTTTGTTCATTAATAGAAACCAATTTGTATCGAGCTGGGCAAGTTCATTTATACAATTTATAAATTCGTTCGACACACGCTATCAATTGAGCAGATTGAGATGAAATGACATTTATGTAAGTTGCCAAGTGAATAACTTTTCTCAACTATGTACGTATTTTTATATTCAAAGATATGCCATTTCATCATCTTATGAACATTTATTGTGACGCAAAAGATATGACAGACATATGTATGTACATTATGCAGTTGGATATATACAGAAAGCCTTATCTGTCTGGTAAGAAAAGAAAACTAAAATATATAGGTCAGAAAGAACAGAAACACACTTTGAAACTACTTAAGCTGCACTTGGATTTTGTTTTTTTCTTGAAACTGGGGCCTGAAATTTCAAAAGTTCTCCAAGTGCCGTAAAACAAGCTGACAAACACTCATCAAAATCAACGAGTAAAAGCAGCGAGGCGAACATAAATCAACGCTGATTGCCAAACAATAGGAGGAGACTGCTGGTGGAGATCGGGGGCTCGTAGTCGGTAAGTAGGAAGTGAGCAATTTGCCAAAGAAAATAATTAAAATAAATAAACGGACGGCTAATTCACAGATTGTCGACTTTAAGTTGAAACTACGAAATCGAAATGGTTACAAAGACAAAGCAACCGAATTTACTAAGAGACTGAGTCGTGCAAGAATGAGCAATAATTAACTTAAACCACTAAGAAATCACAAAGAAAAAAAAACACCGAAAAAAAACCAACAGCAATCGCCATTCCGTTCCGTTCACTGGCTGCGGGGTGGGGCATATTTCTCCGCTTCAGTGGACACTGACTTGGACATTTTCCGGTGCCGCCATGGTGGGTACGTTCACATCCACATTCCCATTTACATGGCCGCTGCGGATAGCACTCTCTTTCTGTCTCCACATATTAAACCCATCATTGGGCACTGAGAAAATTAAAACCATTTTAATCAAGACTTAAAGTTTGAATTTTTTGAAAAAACAGATCGGAATTCCATTGAAAAGTCATAATTAATTTATGTGCATTGTTGTTGTATGCTGATCGTAGAAGATAATACATTTTCTCTCAGTGTATTTATAGACTCCGCTCAACTCTCTGGTTTGGCTTCATCTTCATTGCTTGCTCTCCAACCGAGTGCCAAGTCATTGAGCTGAGTTTGCATTTCGAGGCGGCGGCGGAGAGCTGAAAGCCAAACAAAGTCCCACGAGTGAATTATCCGCAATGGGTTTCGTCTCGGGTTACCACTCTTTTGCGCCTGGCCATAATATAATTCCTCTATATGCATAACCCGATCCCGAATACCGATCTGCAACCTGTCGCCTATTGGGGTGGCACTTAATTAGCAGGGCTCCGGTAATTGGATTCTGGAGCCAATGGAAACGCAACGGTCTGCTGGACATAATGGAAAATTGAGATCCATCGAAGGGTTTCGCTTTGGTTATTCTTTAGTGGGGCGTCCACATTGGCGGCGTGGCGATATGATCCATAATCTGGGTGCCCCCCTAGACACTTGAGAATATCACGTAGTCTTGTTCGGGCAACCCACCCGTATGTCGCACCCTTCCCAGTTGTTTCGAGCAAATATCACGCATATCTGTTTCTTGGGAAATACATTTCGGGGCGATAAACAGGACGGGCCAATATGATATCAACTGTGTACGTATGACGAATAAGGTTTTGGGGGTCTTATTCAAAAACTCAAATATTTGTCTAGACTTCCCCGAAGTGTGCCAGAAATTCAGAGAATTTATGACAAATCATAACCGCCCTTATATGTTTGAGTACACGTATTTTCTGTACACATACAGCTGCGGTCAGATTAATGGCACGACCAGATGTCATTAATAAATGGCAAATCGTTTGGATCTACGCCTGAAATCGAACATATGGATTTTATATCTTTTTCAAATTTATGGGGAAGAACGTAAAAATATTGAGGAACGAATGCTTTGCTCATTGAACTTTTAAGACTTCAAATATATTATGTATATTTTCTTTATGTCGTCAGTAAAACAGGTTATGGACTAGTTATATTTTAAGACCTTGAGCTAGTTCTTATTAGTTAGTTAGTTCTTATTTAACGAGCATGTATCTGAACTTATGTACATGGCTGCTCTGCAATAAATTTCCACCTTTTAATAAAAAATATAACGAGATGTACTACATTATAGACCTAATAGAAATACAAAGAAATTAAATTCTTGTAGCAATATTTGAATGACCTCTATTGTGGACATGAGTGTGCTGCACACTCCTTATAGAGCCAACAATGAAAACGAATCTTATCTGGCAAAGGCCTCCAATTCAAAATAAAGCTGAAAGTGGGCGGCTTGGGGGTGGCTCATGCAAGAAGAGAAAAGAGGAGAAGAAAGGCAGAGATAGAGACAGCAAGTCTCATTTAAAATGCAAATGATAAACTAACCATAAGCGTTGATAAACCTGTGGGTCTGGCAGAACGAACCTTCAGATTCTTTGGATTTCTTATATTTTTGCGGCTTTTTCAGATTTAATTACTTTTTTTTATAGGTTTTTCTTATTGTGGTATTCCAGGCCCAGGTGTGTTCGTGTGAGTGCGTGGGCAAATATAATGGCAGAAAGCGAAAACGTGACGCTTTTGTCAACTGGCTTTGTCTTCACTTTCGCACTGAAATTCACTACTCGGCACAGCACTTCACTCTTTGGACTTTATGTAATTGCTTTATTTCACTTGGAAGTACTTGTATCTTTTGGAAAATTGGAAGCCGCACGGAGAGCCGCGAACCCGACGATTCAAACGCAAAAGTATCTGTGAAGTTTCCGAGGTTTAGCCAGCAGCAATGTTAAGATTCGAGATTGTGCTAACAGAGAATGTTAAGCATTGAATGTTAATCACAGTGCAACTGAGAGCGAGAGCGGGAGAGGACAAATTATTAAGAAACGATCGTTGGGGAATTTTTTGGAGTAATTTAGTAAGTAGTATTACTTAGAGTAATAATATATATTTAGTTTACGATAAAGACAGTGTGAGTAAGAGGATTTACAGATACAAAACAGAGGAAGAGAGAGTACGATCTTGGCGCAACAACAGCTGGCTTAACAGTTTGAGGGAGGCAACAAAACTGGATTTCGAAATTCGAACTCGACTATGTATATATGTATGCATGTATGTGCCGCTTACTCATTTTCAATGGGAATGAGAATGCCTTTTGTTGTTGCTATTTCTTTTTTGGTGGCTGCTTCGTACATTGCTCTTTGTTGTTATTATTGTTATTGTTATTGCTTTTGCCTATTTGCCTGACACCGGCTGCTGAAAATTGCTTTTGTTGTTTGCTTTGCTGCTTATGAATGAACAGCACACACAGATGCAAGTTTGCACAGCTTGTTGTGGGTGTGCTCGTTGTCTCTCTCTCTCTCTCTTTCTCATCAAATGACGCATGTTTTTGTTGTGCCTTAATTAAATGTTTTTATATATTTTTTTTAGGCTTTTTATCCAATTAATTAAGTTGCTTAGCGCATTTTTGGCAAATTTTACACAACAAATGACTCGTTTGCCCATTTAAGTAGGCAATGCAATTGGATTAATGAGGCAAAAACATTTGTAGTTTGCAAAAAACACACTAAATAAATTGCTCTAAAAATAGCCAAAACACGCTGGCAAATAAATTAAGCGATCCCCCTTCCAATGGTGTAAACAAAGAGAGCCCCAGACAATTGGAATAATTAAAATGCCCAAGCAAAGGCAACTGGAATGCGGGCGGCTTGCGTCTTTGTTGTTGTTTTTGTTGCGCATTTGGTTGATAAATTAAGCAATTTGCAGATATACAAAAGTAAGGATAGAAGAAGAGATGGGGGCCATGGAAAGCTGTGAAAACGCGTGGAAGACCCCCTATCTGCGGGCAATTTCCAGATCATGTGAGCGCTGAAAAACTCTTTAATTCTTTTTGCTACGTGTGCTGTTTTTTTGTCTATAATTTCACAGTTGTTTATGATTTGTTTAGCTAATGGCACAGAGCAAAAAAAAATAAAGGGAACGATAATTTTCCACATTTTACGCACTTTGCTCTGGTTTGTGTCTGCGATTTGTGCGTGAGTGAGCCAAATTCAGCCAATC